ACACGATCCCGCACAAACTGCTCCTATTGATAGTGCCGTTGGGTTCGAGACTGGAACCAGCTTCCCAGCACAACATATTCTGGACCAACACAGAAACCGGAACCGGGACTGCCGGAAACTCCTTGCCCACTTCCAAACCCGTGTCAAACCTGGTGCCATGACATGGTGCATGACAACCCATGCCGCTACAGTCAAAGTGGAGGCGAGTGATTGCAGTATGACAGAATTTTCCGGTCATCGTGTTCCTTCGCTCTGTTTTTTGCTCAAACCTTCGTAGAATATTCGGCGAACAGAAGCTAGTCTTTGGGTCGTTGGCAGAATTATGTCAGGCTTCATACATTGGATTGGTGTTGCTTTTCGCGCTATATATATATAATCAATAGTTTAATTATATATTATATATACCTAGAACCTGAACAACCTCTATTTTGGACCACAAACCATCCCAAATATGGCCTTTTCCTATCAAGACAGAGGTCAAACGGGTTCCAGGTATGTATATACACACATGATTATATATGCTAGAATCTCCAACTGCACACATGTTCTGCCTTTACACTATGATACCAGCCAAAAGGCAGACATGTTGCATTGTTGAAAGATCATGAAAAGATCCCACCCTAAGAGTCCGGGCCCTCAAACAAAAAGGGTTTTAAGGGCCCCGACCCTTGCTATGTTGCTATGGAGGGTCCGACCCCTGCCATGGAGGGCCCAAGGATTCTTAGGGTATATCATATAACAAAAACCATATATATATATGTATATAGTATATATATATCGTATATATATATATCGTATATATATATATATTACATATATATATATACATTGGTTTTAGACTCACACAACTCTCGAAGGAAAAAGCGGCCCCGACTCGCCTGACACCCGTGAAGACGAGACACGGCTGAGGGCGAGTTCCAAAAGAATCAAGACGACTGGGAAGCACATTTGGCGGGACACAGGCTGTGTTGACGGCCCCGCAACCACCGGTGTTGATGGATTTTATAGTTGTAGCTACCTACTACACTAACCTATACTATACTACCCTATATACGCTATACTATACTACAACCACCTACTGTACTAACCTATACTACCCTAAGCCATCTCCGTCCCTCCACCACTTTCAGCATCTTTCTTCTGCAATAGCATTGACGTCCACGAGACTGGACTCGACCATCAATGCTCGGAGGACGTGACCGGAATCCAGGACTTTTCCGTCCTTACTTCAGTGGTGCCAACGATAGTTGGACTGGACTCCGTTCGAGTAGTGGTTGATTGAGGTCGGAACAGGGTTGTTTTGGATGCAACGCTTGGTCACCGAACTCGCTTCAGCGGACGTTGTAGGTCAGAACAGGGTCGATGAGTCAAACACCCAAGGAGGGGTGGATGATGGTGGATGGATGAGAACACAACCAAATGGCTAAGTCATATATTGTTGTAGGAGCTTCCCTTTTTTGCCAGGTGTGTGGTTAATGTTGGTTTTGATCTCATGCTTTGCGCGCCTCCTTCATTTCTTCATGAATTAGTTCAAGGGAAAATCTACAGGAAACCCATCGTCTTGGGGGTGAACACCATGCTTTACGTAGATATTCCCTTAAACCATCGATCCATCGAATCTCTTCCGCTTCCGCACGCTTTCTGCTTCGCGCAGGCGCAGCTTCGAAGATGAACTCATCGCGGCATCCGAGAAGGTGCGGCGGTTCGTCCGACCCGCGTGGCGTGTCGATGGTGGCGTGTCGATGGTGGCTGCTAGGAACAGGGCATCGCTACGAACGGGGCGCTCCTTGGCTTACTATAGGAACAAGAAGCTACTAGTCGCACATGTGTCTTTCTGGTCAGTTTCGGGGTTGGACGATTTTCATGGCTTCAGTGGAAGGCATGAAGGGATCAGTCACTGTGCTTCATGAGCACAACAAATCTAGATGCACATCGTGTCTCATGGAACTAGTCAACCTCGTCACAACCCAAGGTTCACAGATCCACCCCCTCATGTTCGCAAAGACTGCCCTTACTATATACGGTAAACGGATTGTACTGTTAAAAGGCAGAAACACATGATCTAGCTTGTTTGTTCATAAACCCTTTAGTGAAACAACCATGGACACATTGTTGTAAAGCAGCCTCATGTTTCTCAAGTAAACTTCCTGATTCCTTCCTAGATGTTTCTTTGAGAGCAGTGGGCAGGGTGTTGCCACCCACCGAAGGGCAACCGGCTGGGTGGTCGCAGGCTGCTGCACACAAGGAGCACGTGCGGCAACAACACGCAGCTTGGCTCAAGCTGCTGCTGCTGCTGCTGCTGGTGTTATGGGTGCATGGATGATTGATGGCCTGACCATCTCAATGGTGTGTGTGTAGAATTGCGGACCACATTGTTCTTTGCCGCTGTAGAAACCATCAGATTTGCCTTGCGTCTCTGGTGACTTCTTGACTTCTAGCTACTGTACTACCTCTAGCGGCCTACCCCCCCCAAAGAGAAAAATAATCATTGCCCAAAATTGGAACACCTTGTTCTTTTACCCTGTGTCTTTTCCGGTCCAAATTCGATACCCGTCCCCCCGCCCCCCAGGACCTCCTGCTGCGGCAGTGGGCGATGGGGGAGGTGAGTTCACGCGGTCAGAACGTGGCCCGAGGTGGTGAAAGAGAGGAGCATGCTCACCTTCGGTCTAAGCAAACTTAGGATCTTTTGAGATGTGTTGGATGTGTTTTGAGTCTGTCCACGATGGTAGTGTTTGGATGCTTCAGGTGGTTTTTGAGCATGTTTTTCTTTTTGGGACGCCAAACAAACAGTGGTTAGGATGAGAGGTTCCAGATTCTAGAGATTCATGACACAGACACGGATTTTTTGACACTCTCTGCGGGAATGAGCGACTGGAAGTTAGGTGTTGCAGACAAGCTTCAGCTTTTTTGGTTGCTTTTAGCGGTGAATCACTAGATGCCATGTGGTTTTGGGGGCCGGAGGCTGAGGCTGATACTTCATGATTGAAAGTGGGAGAGCGAAACTGTTGATTGAGTTGAGTTTTTGCACATAATCTGGATCTTGGTTTTGACAAACAGTGAACAGAATCAAAAAGCCTAAAGCAACGAATGGACAACGGCTACCAATTGCAATCAATGAGGCAACCCAGCACAAACAGAAAACACACTTTCAAGACCCAAGACAGGAAGACACTCTCAGCAATCCCATTCTTTGGGGGTGTACACATATGTATACTATGTAATTTGTTTTTCTTTCATATTTGTTATATACCTTCTCTGGTTGTTCTTTTTTTCAATTTGTTTCACAGAGTCTTACAGTCTTGTCATTCAGTCCCAATCCCAGGGATTTTCCCCTGGACCAACCGGCAGCTGGTTGTCTGCCGCTGCCAGGCCAAGGGGCTTTTCAGCCAGACCTACAAGTCCTGGGCGCAGTATGTGAAGAAGGCCAAGCTTTTTGGACGCGGAAGCGGGGGAGCACCGTACCTGTTGAAAAGGCCGTGTGCCAAGCACAGTGGCACCAGTGCATTGTCTTTAGGTTTCCGAACGAAAGTACATCTATAGGAATTCTGGCAGTGGTCTTCTATTTAGGACCCTTGGGGTAAAGCTATAGACATACTTGGCTCTCAGGCTTTTCATTTTCTGAAGTCCCCGTCTTTGTCTTCCAGGTACCTCTTACTGTCGCGAGGGATGGTCCTGGATGGAAGGGAGAAAAGATCCAATTCGGCCAGACTAGACTATGACTAAGAGCCAAGAGCCTTACCGATTCAAAGGAATCGTGCTTTTCACTCCCCATTCAGCTTTTGGTTGTGTGCGAACAGTAAGACTGCTTGGGGCTGTTTTGTGTGGCATGTGGCTCTGATGTTTTTCTGGCATTCTGATTCTTGTTGTCATTCCTGACCGGATATTCACTGGGACATTTGTCAAATTCTTTCGGGAGATTCCTTTTATGATTTTTTTCTTTATGCGTGTTTGAGTTCTGCATGTTTCCTGTTTCCACATGTTCAACACCAGTTGATTGGCCCGTGTTGCAGGAAAAGACACGTCGGAGAGCGGCCGCCAACATCCACAAGGTGAGCAAATGGGCAAAGGACTTTGGAAGATGTATACACTACAGTGTACTACAGTAGAGTTACTGGCCATTGGCCATTGGTCTTTTCTTGTATACAGTAAGTAAGTATCCGTAGGTGACCATACGTAAGCCAGTTGTTCCAAAGAGGGATTAGATGTGGATTGCCCCGAATTGCATCAGACAAGAGGGAAGCACTCTTATTTTTGCCCAACCCATAGCCCTGGAAGGAAGACTGGTTGAAAAGAAACTCCTATCAGACATTGCGGTACCGTGTCGTACCGTGTCACCAAGTTTGGCAGATGCTGTGGGTGACTTCCATGGAAAGGGTCCCATCTATAGAAAGATTGAAGTAGGACTCCTGTTTGGCTGAAAGCCCACTGAAGACTCCTTTTCGAGCAGTGCCACTCTTTCTGGTATTCTTGGATTCTGCATTGGCTCAAACCTGGACCGTCCACAGCTCTGTACAGACGATACACCGAAAGGAAGAGTCGAAGAGTATCAGACCATTTTGGACCTTACAAAACAGTATCAGACAAGTTTTGATCCATCAATCATGAAAACACATGATGATCTCTAAGACTGTAAGTGACTAAGGCTTATGACCTCCCTCGAACTTCTCTCTAACCTCGTTTCATAGAGGACAGGTGAGTGATATGGATAAGAGTCGATGTGAAACAAATGTGAACCATTCCAGTCACCGCCCTGAGCACCGGCTTTTTGTTTGGCAAAGGTCGTCCCCAACAAGATCGAGTTGTGCGTGTTGGTGGGCTATGTTCGCATCAGTAGAAAGGCCTGCAACAGCAACATCATCATCATCATCATCATCATCATCATCATCATCATCATCATCATCATCATCATCATCAGCAGCCTCAACCTCAGCCTCATCCTCATCCTCATTCTCATCCTCATCCTCATCCTCATCCTCATCCTCATCTATCACCATCCATCACCATCCATCATCGGTAATGTGATAAACCGACATATCCACTCAATCCGCGCCCACCTTCGATTTTCCGTGCCCGACTCATGGACTGGGACTCCTTCCTCCATTCCTTGGCGGGCAAGCGGGTGGTCTTGTCGGGCTGTGGCGGCGGGAGCGATGTCCTGGGCACTAGCGTGATCTACGCGCGGATCAAGGACACAGCCAAAGAGGTTTCCGCGGGAGGGAGAGTCCCGCGGGTGAGCGGATTGGTCGATCGCACGAGTCGGTGAAAGGGGGCCCCACTTGTTTCCGCATGGCGTGTGGCGCATGTGGTTCTCAACAGTTTTCTCACCGTTGCTCCCAACCCAACAGATTTGGGAACGCATCCGTGGGAGCTCATCCGTTCTATAGCTCACAGCTCTGGTTCATAGGAACACATCTCTCGGGTGACTGGAAGTTGGACAGGCGCCCAGCTTTTAAGGCACTCGTGACTTGCGGATGTTTGAATGCTTCCCACATGCCCCGGATCTGGAAAGGGCACTGGGTACAGAGGGATCTGGCAAGAGTCAGCTTTTCAGGTGATTTTCTTCAGCCTCAGCTTCACCAGGGACGAGCTGCTGCAGCAGAGCTGCCGGCGGATCAGTCGGAAGTGTTGGCTCGTGGAGCCCCACAATGTGGCTCTCAGAGATGATCCGGAGGAGCCGAGAAATCACCCGATGTCCGCTTACAGCGTTCGCGTTCGTCCGCGTTCGCATCCGCGTGGAGAGGTGTTTTTTCGGGACTCTGAAAGACCGAAAGGTCCAACGAACCGAATGACTCCTCGTTTTTTCGCGGCGTCTTGCACGTCGTGGCGTGTAGTGGTCGAGGGAGTTTTGACTCATCGTCGTGGTGTTATGTGGGTATGTCATGCTCCTTTCTTGGCTGGATTTTTTCACATTCACTCATGTTGGCTCCTGCCAGAGCTCAATGGATACTCCTCCACTGACTCCACTGTTGTGGTGGGTTATGCCCCATTTTACAGGTGGTATGAGCTGGTCTCCCAGGGGCATGTGTCCAGTGTTCCATCCGAAAGCCGAGCCACAGGGAAACGGTCGGAGAATGAAAAGAATGGCACACCAAAACGGAAGCCTGGCACACCCACCAGGTCTACTGTGGAGTACATCGCCGGAGTCGGCTGCGCCATCGTTTCTTCCCCCCGCAAAATCCCCGACGCGCTACCTTCTGCGACTGCAGGAGAAGGTCTACTTTCCCGAGGCGCGCATGGCCAACGTCACCGGGCAGCCCATTTACACGCTCTCGCATTTTGCATCCATCCAGGAATACACCGCAGCCTATGAGGTCGGAGATTGGGACGTTCTCCCTCGTTGACCGGGTGTTCGGAGGTGTTTTTCTTCTTATAATTTATAATGGTTATATAATGGTTGGCCTGAATCAAGGAAAACAACTCAAATCATGTCTCTTCTCAGGACAGGCTTCTCACTCTTGACCTCCAAATGTGTGACTTTACTGAGGATGTTTGCGGCAGAAAAGTGGTTCACCCTTTCACCCTCTCAAGAGGATGGGTTGGATGGGTTTCCACTTCGGCCGGTTGGTAGATCAGGCGGCTCTCGGTTACTTTGGACGGCGTTTCTTTGGTGGGCACCTCGCTGATGTGCTGATCTTGTGTGATGGTGGCTGCGACGTGCTGCTCACTGGGCGGGAGACAGGCTTGGCGACCCCTGTGGAGGAGTTAGGGATACAGGGGGGAAAGGAGTTGGGACGAAGTTTCGATCTTTCTCCCTTCTTCCTGCCAGAATGCCAAGGACCTTCAAGGACCTTCGACCTTTGAATCACCCCAAGATGTCCTGTGGGTGAATCAGGACATGGCTCACCTGAGAGCTGTTCAGCCGCTGGACATCCCGAAGAAGTTCATATCGGCCCTGGGTGCCAACGTGGACTGTGCCCATGGCGTGGTTCAGGAGGACCCGGACGTCTGCTGTGTGGCTCGGTGTGGCCAATCAGAAGGCGGTCGGTCAGAGACTCCACATGATGCTGGCCGTTTTGGGGTGAAACCACGCATCAAAAATCATTTGGACCCTTGTGTTGGGGTTGCAAGCAGGTAGACTGGTTGCAAACTGCAAACCGCGACGATGGGTCGTTTTCGGAAACGGACCGGACGACCGGACGTCAAAAACGTCAGGGATTCCACATGGATTCACCAGACTCTGCGTGATGACTTGCTATTTATCGGGTTTACTTCAGCTGTCGTCCCCAGTTGAATGGCTGAAGGACTCATTTTCCATTGCATCCAGTTGTATAGATTGTACGTGTAGTGTCTTCTGTCAAGTTCTACAGTATCATCTACAAGCTCTCTTTCTAATGATATATTAATATGGTTTATAGAATATAGGTATAATAAACAAATAGAAAAAATATATACATATATACATATATACATTATATTCGTACATATTTCATCGCAATCATGTCCATTTTATCCCCGTGGGCGTTGGCGCGTGGCAGGAATTGGATTCCCGCTTGGAACAGATGCAGCGCTCGGGCACCATGCTCTTGAGCCAGCCGATGCCGGTCCCTGTCAGTGGGTTTCGGAGACCGGGTGGGTTACACTCAGAACTGACAGGGACCGGCGGTTCAGGGGTTCCCCTTCGAACTTGAGGTGTGAGGAGCGACACCCATCCCGGGGGTGCCTGCTTAAAATAGTTGATTTGATTGAACCTAAACATGGCTTGATATCTGGAGGAACCTAAACATGACTTAAAACAATAGTTGATTGAACCTCAACATTACATTCATTTTGAGCACTTCGTGGGTTATCCCCACTGGTTTTGCAGTGGATGAATCCCACTTGGTCCAGGATTGACCTCGATGATCCGGCGGGCCAATATTTTGCCGAGCTAGTCTCGCGGTGCGTGCCCTCTTGTGGCGTGGCGAAGAAGAGTTGCCACATCCGTGGTATGTCATTCTATACAGAACACTCAGCACACATTTGATGAACAGATTTGTTCCCTGGCCCCCTTCGTTTCATAGACACCATATCCAATCCATATCCCTAGGCCCTATGAAATGACTGGATAGGCATCCAACCTCACAAACTACGGCAGAGATCATGCGGACAGAACTGGCTCATGGGACCATCCCGACCCAACGGGACACCAGCAACATCCTTACCCATGAGTCGTTTGGTTCCCTTTCCTGACTGGTGCGACTCGTAGGGAATAAGGGAATGAGCATGAATGAGCCCCCAATAGAGATTGAATCCAGCCACCCTCATTCCCTGCGAGTCGCACCAGTCAGTTTCTGGCGGATTCGGATTCGGCGCCGGCTCCAGGTCGGCGTCGTTTCGTTTCGGATTTGGCGCGCAAGAACGGTGCGGCACGGCCAGGGCGGCCAGGGCGGTCGAGTCCGGCCCCTGATGGCCCCATGATTTTGGAGTTGAAAGGGCCATGGGGTCCACGGATGTTTTGCCTTAAGAGCACTCCAGTGGATCATCCAGTGGATGTATCCGAAGCGAACATCAACTCAGTGTGGGGTGGAAGAACGGGGGGTTCATCATTGTTCTTCTTTCGTGGTCCTTCTTTCGTCGAAATTGTGAGTTGCCTTGGTCAAGCAAAATCCTTCAAAGCACACCCAGTTGGAAAGAAATCATCCGAATGGTGACTGATTTTCTAGCCAAGCTCATTTGGACACGATTCTGATCTCATTTTGGGTTGTGGATAGTTGTGGATACCTGGAATCACCAGGGTTCAACTCATCAGGCTCCATTGTCCAATCGCTGGTCTTGGCGGCGATGGAAGGCCATGTGGGGTGTTTCTTGCCGCCGCAGTTGGCGAAGCGGATCAGCAAGAACAAGGTGCCATTGACGGAGCAAACAAGGACCTTGTACCTTTTCCATCTGGAACATGTGGCCAGGGAGGTCTTGTACTTGGATCCTTGGCCAGGAAAGAGATGCTTGTGCTCCTGTCTGGAAGCTGTCTGGAAGAACCATTGAAGGTACCCGGTCGGACGATGGCTTCGTGGAACGGTACATCGCGTCTTCCGGAGCCAGGGAGCCGAGGAACGTTTGGTTCCCCTTTTGGCAGAATGCACCAGAACGCACATGGAAGACACAGATCTGCTGGGTCTATATTAGGTGAATATTGGTGAAGTCTTCCTTGTTTTCATGACCCCTTGGTGTGCGGATTTGCACTTGGTCTTTTGGGTAGGTGACATTCTATTCCTCATTCCTCATGTGGTGCCGGGCTAAGATGCAAAAGTATCGTTCCTACTCGGCGATGGACACCTACGCCCACATTTTCTACGTTTTCTCACTTCTGATCTAAGACCGTCAGACCCTGTCTGACAGGGTCGAAGGTTTTCAGTGTTTAGGTGAGGGTCAGAATTGAAAGGACAGTGTTGGGTTCACCACATCGGGGATACTGGCTTCACCACGCATCTGATGCGCACGCGCTGCGGGGAAGAGTAGTTGTTGGACGGAGGGAGGCATTTTGGATGTTTGTGTTGTTGTTGTTGTTGTTGCCTTTTTTTATATCCTAAATATTATATGTTGTTTCATGAGTTGGCTTTTGGCTTCGGTGGCTTCTGCGGCTTTTGGTTTGTTTTTTGATGGCTTGCTTTTGGATGCTTTTGGTGGTTCTCGTTGCTTTTGTAGGTTTTGGGTGTCTTGGCACAGGTGGAGGTGCTGCAGTTAGTGCTGCGCAGTCCCCTACTTTGTCAAGCCCAGCTAAGTCAACCAAACCAAAAAAAGCTCAATCACAGCCGAACAAAAAAGCCAAGCCCAAGCAGTTTGAACTGCAGCCTCCTCAGAGGCACCAAGAGACTACACTGCTGGGAAACCTCCCTAAAGCCCATAAGGAGCAAGCTAGCAAAACCAAAAAACACAGAAATAGACACACGTATATGGAGGAAACAAACATGAATAACCAAAACACACATATGTCCAAAAATATATGGAGGAACAACATGTCCAAAATTGACATGGTCGCCTTTTTCGATCATATTTCTGTCACTCCTGTGAGGTTGCAAAGTCCGGTCATTCCTGCTCTCGCCACGTGCGCACCGGGTCTTCGTGGGTCTTCCAGTCTTCCGTGAGCCACGCGGCCACAGTTGATAGACAGCACACCTGTGCCCAGCACCTGTGTCCATATCCAGTGGAATTTGAGTCATCAGATCGTTTGAAAAGCGCCAGTACCCATCTCCTCTAAAAACTTCCAACATCCTCCAATGGCTTCAGGATCGGCTGGAACCTCATTTCGACTACCTACGCGTTGCCGAGACCATTGGTGACTTCCAAGCTGAAGTGAACAAGACGACCTGAGCCGAGATGTATCGTGTTGATACAGGCCAACTGCCGTATCGTGCCGTCTCTTCTCCCGTACAGTTGCCTGGCAGCTGTCTTGGGGGTGACTCTCCAGATCGTCAGGCGAGGTTGGATGAAGGGATCTGGAGCAACCGACGCAACTTGGGTCACCGACGCAAGGGTTGTGGCTTTTCCCGGAAAAGACATATTCGCAGCTCCACTATATGTGCATCAGACCTTTCATCGGATGGGTCGAGTACATTCCATCAGTTGTTTGGCCATCCCGGTTTAACATGAGGCTCTCCCTGGGGGAGACTCACCACTGTCATCACCGCATTCGGATCGAACAGGAGCACATGCGGGTTTGACATGCACAAAGTATGTAGCCTGCAAGCAGATGGGAAGAAGAATGGTTTCTTGGGGGGTCCGGGCAAAAAACACGGCCACAATGAACATCGAACCCAGACTCTCCAAGTATGGAATATAATGGACAAAACAGCATGTATACATACATATATACATATAATATACATTCATACTTACCCTGAAAGCACCCCAGTGTATGGAAAATATGCCTGTCCCATGGGTCATGTCTGGGTCGGTGGGACATCCTCTTTCAGCGTCGACCCAGACGTTGTACAGGTGCTCCCTGGACTGAGGAGCATGGCACTTTTGTCTTGTTTGAAAGTCAGAGACGGCCCTGGAAACGTCAGAGGTCTCTGGGAGACGACACGCCTTTCATGCAGCGGTGTGTGCGCTCCCAACCGTTGGAGAATGAAGAAGTGGCCCGAAAAAGATTTGCTGAGTTCTGAAGGCACAAAGACAAGCATGGAATCCCAAGACTAGCATGGTTTCTAGAAGCTAGGCTTCTTGTGATTGTCCATCTTCAGGTTCTGTATCATTTTGAGAGGTGCTGGGCTGCCGCGTGTACTTATTCTTATTATATATTACTATTTTTTGGAATCAAATTGCTTCTCAAAATAATGGCCCTTCTCAATTTTAGCATTGCTGTTATTTCATTCCTTTTCGACTTAATCATTACTAAGATTCTCATCCTGGCCACTTTCAAGACCATTTGATGAGCTCCTTTTCGGTGGTTCCTACTGGGAGGTTCCAGACGGGACCCTATACGGCTCCAGCCAATCACTTCTGCTCGACGATCGGAGATCGGAAGACCTGGTGAAGGGTGAAGCCCCCCTGCTTTGAACACTGTGGTCTAAAAAAGACGCCCAATGGGAGCGATAGGTAAGGCCCTGTGCACCACACGCGACAGATTGGGGGGTGAGCATTTTTGCTCACCCACCGATGTGTGGCGTTTGGTGCACAGGGCCTCAGCTTTGGGTAGTTCCATTCACTCCACCCGCAGAGAGGTCCTTCACAGCCTTTAAAGGAACCCCAATCTAGACCTCCCCTGAAGTTGCATTGTAGACCAGCATAGGTGCACCAGTTTGTATGGTGTTCCAACGTGTCCTTTCTTCGCGCTATCGTAGGGCCATTCTTTTTCGGTGGAGAGGATCTTCCATGACCGCCCAGTGGTTTGTCAGGTTTGCGCCCAGTGGATTATGGGGAAGACCAAGGGCCTACTGCAGAGCTGTGTATGGGCATGGTCGAAAGAGTCTGGTCACTCAGAGAAGTCGGGGCCATGCGGCGCAGCGCGGTTTCCACGCAGCACATGGCATGATCAACTCCCAGTGAATCACTCACCGCGTATTTGGTTGAATCACCAGGGCCCGTATACGGTGTCCATTCCTAGCCATCATAGGGGTGCTCATTAGACACCCTTTTGTGGGTCCGGGTATATTTTATGCCTATGGACATGAGCAGAGCAAAGATGTACAACAAGAAGCAAGGCTGCACCTTTTGTCAGGTGTTGCTACCCAGTGTTTGGGGAAGGTGTTTGCGGTCGTGCAGCAAACCCATGTTCAGCCGGGAAATCCACTTTGTTGCTGTACTTAGCATGTATCGAGGGTGGTTCCTTCTCCGAACTTCAATTTGATGCGACAGCTGCCCTGAATGATTCGCGTCTCCACGCACCCCGCCCTCCGTCCTTGGGTCCTTGCTCTCCTGGTCCTTTACACAGCCACTCCCAGCATGGCTCGTTCTGCTCCAAAGTCCTGGTCATCCTGGCAGCCCAAGGTGTAAACCACGGTGTACAAGGTGTTTACCGCGAGCAAGTTTGATTTGGGGTCACTGATCTTATACAAGACTTGCTTTTCCAACCGTGCGAGACGGTACGCACCCCCGCTCCCTCCCTCGCGCCGGGTCCTGGTCCTCAAGGTCCAAGGAGAGCGCACTGATCTTACGGAGGGAGAAGGTCCGGTCGAGTTCGCGGGCGAAGCGCAGAGCCAAAGGGGCAGGTGAGATATGGCTTTGGAAGACCAATTAAGGAACGCCCAGGCCCAGCGCCATTTTCCTTGATTGTTGTGAGTCGCGAAAGTAGTGAAATAAGATGTGACTGCCTTGTTGCTCGCTTTCTAAAGTTTGGAAGCTTCAAAACCTCAAGGTCGTCCTGGAGAGCCTTTCAATTGGCCTGCACAGAGGGTTTGCGTCGTTCTGATTCGATTGCACGTCTGACATACCTTGGAGAGACATCTTTGATGTGAGTAGGGCATCTGCAGTCCATCTCTTTTCGAAGCAGCAGAACTCCCATTTTGGACGAAACTCCCACGGCCCAGACCGATCTCCGTGAGTCCCAGAGCCCGGCTTTGGAATTTTGGAAGCCAACATGCTAAAACGTGGGTTTGGAGTGCGGAGAACTGTCGCCTGGTTCGTGACCACACACACATCCCTACACACCCCTCCTCCTCTTCGGCTTCCGCGGTCGCGGTTGCGCCCGAAGTGAACATCCCAGGACATGGAGAAGGTGCTGCGGAGTGAAGGGAGGATGGCCGGGTTTCAGGTCTACGGGCGGTTTCTGACCCAACACCACTAAGAGTAGAAGACCAAAAAAAACCCAACGCCGACATAGATGATGCACTCCAGATTTCAGTAGCCCCTGACCAGAGCCCTGTTCTGCCAACGCGAAACAGGGCGTTTTCCACCCTACCCATCGGTTCGGAATGTCGAAGCTTGGAAAAGCACACCGACACACTGCTGCTTTGAGACTCCGCTTTAAATCCTCGACCAGGCTTTTTACCCCAAAGACACAGCAAATTTGGTTGTGTCAGAGTGTTGCAGGCAAACAAACCTCTAAACTCAAGGAGTTAGCCTCTCTGAAATAGTCATGGAAGTTGATGGCATGGCCCCTGGGCCCTGGGATGACCATTTTCCTGTACAAACCAGAGGATTGTCCACTCGCATGTTTGTTGGAGGCGACCTTGAGGGTGGATCGTTGGGAGAAGCTGACGATCGTTGGGGTTTTACCGCGCACAAGGAACCCCGTGTGTTCCATCACCGGCGGGCTGAACATACCGCACTTGGTGCCCATCACCAGAATGGCTGAAAAACGGAAACATTTTTCATGGGGCATCCATGGCATGATGCCAGGGTCTGAGTACAAAAACCAATAGAACATGATAGAACCGTTTTTGGGATTCTCTATCAAACTGTATCACAGAAGAATACCGCATTATCGAAGAACCTTTCTTTTTTGGGATCCCCCCAACCACGCATGGGCCAACGGGGCCCACATGGAGACTCCCACCACGCCCGGCCGACCGGCTCGAGTGACACCGGCTCGACGCTCGCGGGTTCACGGGGTGAACTCGGGGAGTCTGCGCATTTCGCGAATGCCACCGCCACAGGACGCCGGGCGAACGGGTGCTGGGACACCAGAAGGCAGAAACCACCATCTCACTGCAGAAGCCTTGTAGACAAGAAGTGGTTTGCCGTTCTCACTTGTAATCCTTGGATTTTATGGTTTGCAGAATCCACTTCTCTCAACGAGGGACCTGATCGACTCGAGACCGACCTCAAGATGTTTGAAGGAAAGATCTCAAAGCCCCAGGTGTTCTAAACAGCTGCGGATCGGATAGCTGGATGGGATATCCTGGAGAGTGTTTCATGTCACGGATGGTGGGTCCGTTAATGAATCGCCTGGAGAGCAGCCACGCTGAGTAACAAGACTTCCAACATATGATATGGCTGGGCTGAGCTGTGAAAAAGACTCCTGGATCCACACATGCTGCAGCGGCTTGGGGCTTCTTGGATTCCCTGCTGGTAGGTCCTGATGTGGTAGGTGGTTGGCAGTCATTCAGGACCAACAGGTGGTGACGAAGCAGATCATTGAAGAGCACCATCGAGAGACTGGATTCCCAGTCTGAGTTGAGCTGCTCCTCGTTCCGTCGGCACCATGTTGTTCTTGCAGTCCCCCAAATCACTGGCTGCCGTGGCTGGCTTGGACTGTCAAGATGTTCTTTATTGACCTTCAGGACATTCCTCCAACGTATTCAAGAAACGATAGATCCGATAAGCTGCTGGGGAAGCCAGGCCCCAAAATTTTTTAGTGACGCTGGGCGAGATGCTTCCAGAAACCCTTCCAAGGCTGGCCTCACAGGTCACAAGACGTCTTTCAAGTTGGGGTCTAAAGTCAGCTGCTCCAATAGATGCAATGTTAGGTGCTCCAAGGTTCGGGTCGACCGCCATGCTAACTCCAAGGCTGGAGAGGTGCCTTTCAGAGGTGCCATGGGTTGGGAGCTCCGGTCCCACCGGAGCGGGGACCGGTGGGGACTGAACACTGTGGCGTTTCGTCACGCCGACCGTGAGTGGCCCGGACCGAGAATGGACCGAGAAAGCATGACGCTCCGACGGTGCTCGTACGTGCACGAGATGGGCGTTTTGGGGCTTGGACTGGTGGAGCGTCGCCCCCTTTTTTCCCCGTGGCGATGGGTCCCTGAAAAAGAGCAGGGCTTCCACTCGGAAGCCAGGTCGACTCCAGATGCCAGGTCGACGAAGCAGCGAAGTTGGCCAAAGACGCAGCAAAGGCTGCGTTGCAGGCGCTCAGGATGCTGGGAGGCGAAGGTTGTCTAGCAGTCTATCAGTGAGACAAGGACTATACACTGAAGGTCTTTATCATTATTGAACAGCATACTCAATTATGTTACTGTTACGTTTCGGAGATGAAAGGGAAGGAGTAGAGCCATGAACTCGTACGACAAAAGGAGTGTAGGGGGACTTGCCGAGGACGATGCGGCTTGGTCGAACAGGGCATGGAGTCCGGTCCAGGTTTCCCAACAAGACATTCAAGAAATCCACAATGGGATGACTGAAGCGACTCGAGCAAGGGTACAAGGTTGACGCAGATCACGACAGACATCCCTGCTGTGAGGTGGCAGAGAAGTGCAAGCATGTTGAAGAGGCGGGGAAAAAACTGGAAGGTGAACACAGCTGGTAAACCGCCTTTTTTGGGATCATTTTTGGTTGGTGGATGATTTCCTCCACCGAAAACACTACTCACTGACACACCGGGTTCAGAAATTGCTCCTAAACCTGAGGAATCAGAGACTCTTGACTTGAGGAATCAGAGACATCTCTTCCAAAAG